TCATTTTCAGCTTACTGTGTTTTTAGGTTACTGGTCTCGCAGGGAATGTTCTACACAGACAACCCCTGTCACCAAGCTCCTTTCATTTAATACAATGAAAGTGCAACTGGATTTGAAAACATCATGAATTCATTACTAAGAATCTCAAAGAGGCAATTCCAGGACTTAGGGCAACATTATTAAAGCAATAGGAGCCAAATTTTTAAATATATTTAAATACTGACAGTATTTAAATGACAGTTCCAAGGTACTACTTCAAGTGTGGTCACAGAATAAAAAAAATTAGGTTGGAAAGATATTCTGGGGTTTAACCCAACTTAGGTCAGGTTGCTCAGGCCCACACAATGTCAGTGAGGAGCAAATCTCTTGGGATCACACAAGTTCCTTTGGATCTAAAGGTGCAACTGGAAGCTGGGGTATTTAATGTGCTGCCTACACCAAGAGCCTCCCTGTGCTATGTGAGCAATGCCATCACACCTCTACAGGTGATTTGTTACACTGTTTATCCCATTTAATGCTCCTGCTCCTTCTAGGAATCCCACAGGGGTTCATCTGGGACAAGCAGCACACAAACCCCAGAAGACACAGTTCCCATTCCCAGTATGTTATGGAAACCAACGGGGCTTGGAGTTCACAGTCATAAACAGAACAGTGGTGGTTTCACCTCCATCCCTGTATCACATCCCACAGGAGTGCTGCCCAAAGCTGCCCTCACTTTCATTCCCTACATTAGCAGAAGGGGATGCATGGAATGAGTGAGATTCTTAATGAGAAATCTAGGACAAAATGACTGATTCTGTGCCTTGGTCTGAAAACAACGTAATAACGTGGCTGAGAGCAGGCTCTGATGTTAATTATGTGATTTTACAACACTTCATGACACTTTTTGATCCGTGTTTTTCTGTCATTTCTACCAGAATCACAAGCACTGAGCCTCAAAGCCCTTGTGGACCCTGGGTCACTCAGGGACATGCACTTGGAGCTCCTCACTATTTAAGTTCCTTCAGCGGGAGCTTCTTTCTGTGCAGAAAACTGCCCTCCCCAACCACCCGCCCCTGCACAGCCTCCCAGGCTGCCACACCTTGAAGATCACCCTGCTAAATCAGAATCTCACCAAACACCAAATACACCAAACAAGTCAATCTGATATCAACCCCCCCTCGTTTGGAACAGCTACAAGATTTGGCCAGAGCACACTGGACAGTCAGGGAGGCAGCACTGTCACACACACCCGGGAAAAACCTCCTGGCATCCAGCCCTGCTCCCAGAGGCTCACCCCACGCTGCTCAGACAGTTTTTCCTCAGCTCTGAAGTTGTGAAAACACGGTTCTAAGGAACACGTTTGTACCTTGACTCCAGCTCCACACTTCACTCCCCGCTCCGCCCGGACCGGGGTGTGCACAGCACAGCACAGCACAGCACGGCACTAAAAGCCTGGAAGCCCAACACACTGAATCACCGTAATTAACACTCTGGCCTCCCGCCACGAAGGCTCAGCATCTGAAACAGTCCCTAAAAGGATATTAGGAAGTGAGAAGGCGAAATACAGTTCTACCTGCGCAGCAAGCAGCGCTTATTTATTCGAAACGAAAACACTTACTGTTAGTGCAATCCTCTGACACTCGTATTCCTGATCCTTTGCCCACTTGGAGCTGGACTCGTCAGACTCCCAGCAGCACAAAATGTTAATGTTTTGCCTGCGAGCTGCCTTCCAGGCTGCTCTTTCTCCCTACAGCTCTGGAAACATTGCTGGAGCCGTGGATTTCACGGGAGCTGCTCCCCGAGTAAAGTGTCTCTAAAGCACAGTGAACAAGGCATGGCTTCCTGCTGCCCCAGATACAGCAATTCCTCCCGGGAATGGCAAACAAGAATCTCTAAGAGGGTTTTGCTGTTAAATCTTTTCTTGTTAAGACTAGGAAGAGAAAATCTGCTTTGTGACAGTGGCACTGTGGGGAGTTCAAACCCAAGGGTCACAAGAGAGGCACGCTGGCAACAGGAACCTCGCTGGAGGGGAGATTTAATACACAAGTTCCTCCAGAAAACAAAAACAAACCCCCACACAATTCATCACACCGCTGCCATTTCTAAATTAGAATAAACAGCCACGCAGAAAATGTATGTTAGTGCCTGAAAAACCAGCCAGAAATTCAGCCTGGTGTGGTACAAAACCCGGGAGAGGGGAATTGGAGGCTGCCCCCATTTCCTACACATCGTCCTCATTATGGAGCAGCAACACAAAACCCAGTCCCTCCACCTACACCCTTAGAGGGGACACCAACACAGAACTTTTCAGATGTTACTGCAAACAAGGTGCTTTCAAATAAAATAAACTTTAAAAATGCTTGGCAAGAACATTCCTTTCCCAGTTGGCAGACGAGTGCCCCAAGCTCACACCTCTCCAAGATCCTGAATTTAAAATCTGAGCCAAAATGGCTCCTTTTCCTTTCCTTTCTCAGTGACTTTTCCAGCATGAGACACTCAGATTGAGCTCAAAAACCCCACTGCTGCTGTTTTAAGCCAGTAACATTTAAAATGGATTCTGGCAGAGGTGTCTGCTCTGACAGACATATAGTAAGCTGAAAAGGAGAAATTAAAAACTTAATTAAAAGCTAATGTTGGAAAACTGAGCAACTCCTGTTCCCACCTTTCTGCAAGGAGGAAAGTGTGGGGGGGGGACACAGTGTGAGACATGAAGCTCTAATTCTTTTTGCAGCACTCTGTATTGAAGCAATCAGACACACTTTGGTTAAAAAAAAAAGGCAGGAAGATGGAAATGATCTTACTCTGAGAATGATTTTGGATACTGCTTGACTTCCACGTTTGTAGACAAGGTGCTCAGCCAAGACAGAACTTTCTCTGCTGTTACTCTGAACAGCTTAAGCCCAGTTGGTTCCTTAAAAGCATCTTAAGATGTCACTGGAGGGAATTCCTGCCCATGACCCACAGCAACCTGTGATGAGCAGGGAGGCTGAGCCTCCTGGATTTCTGAATCAGCTCTGCCAGGAAGTCCCTGGGTCTGCACCTGTAATTCCTCAGGTATTTACAACAGCACTGTCATCCACAGTCAGCCTTTGCAACCACAGTTTCCCCTGCTCCTGCTCACTCCAAAAATTATGCTGGGAGTGGCCAGGGTGGGGGGCATAGGGGTGGAAAATGGACAGGAAGTGAGGGAATGGCTTTTGGGGTGGCAGGACCAGTTCCCATCCACTGATGGGCTACAAGAGCACCATTGACTCACTGACTGACAGACTACACTGGCCCAACCCCTGTATTCATAACACCCCCCAAAAAGCCCTCCATGAAGCAACAAACACCCCCACATGTAAATAAAGATCATCCTTAGTAGGGGAGAAAACACCAGACAGGAGAGAAGCACCAGACTTTGTTAACAAAAATAAATGCACGTGTTCTGTTAAAGGCTCTTTGGCTAAAGACCAGTTTCTGAATTCCACTGAATTCATCACATCCAAGGCCAGCCCAGATACCTGAAATCAGGATGATTCACACTGGTTTAGGAAAAGAAGTGAAAATTAAGAATGGCACAGGTTTCAAAAGGCATTCACAGGCCAGCCACCTACCAACCAGTCAGACACAAGTCAATTTGCTTTAAGGACACCCAGCAACAAGCTGAGAGAAACAGCAGTGACTTCAAAGAGCAAAATGACCTATCAGAGCAACACTTACACACTACTGAATGTTTCTTCATTTACCACCAGGCACAGAAACACAAATTAAAGCAGTTTACAAGACACAACAGAACCACTTTTTAAGCTGCAAGATAAACCCTCCTACTTTACAAGCCTGGCACCCACCCCTGCTTCTAAGGGGGGGTGAGGCTGCTCAGTCTTACCTTGTAAATAAATGAGTTCACACTGGAATTATAACACATTGGGACAGAGCCACCAGTTGGGGGGGGTTGTTGGTTTTTTGGGGTTTTTTTCCACTTCCCTTGTGAGACACCTGCTGGAGTTTATTCATACAGACAACTGGTTTATCTGAAAACACCACACACTAGTGCTCCCAAAACACTCCCACAAGAGTCCTCCAAAAAGGCTTCTGAGGAAACTAAGCTGGGCTAAGGAGAGTCTGTGGCAGATTAAAGAAGTTAACTAAGATAATTAATTACATTAAACAAATCTAGCATGAATCCACACTGAAAAGAGATTCCAGCTATGATCTATTCAGCAAATTCATAACTAGATGGAAGAAGAGAGTAATAGATATGCAACAAAACTGACTGATGATCCTTTGGGATAAGGCACAGATTTCCAGGATGGTAACATTTTAAGATGTTGACAGGTGTAGAAAGCTCTCACAATGCCCAGAGACAAATAAATCTGTAAGTTGGTAGATAAAAAAGAGAAAGGAGAGAGGCAAACAGTTCCAATTTGTGTGAACCACTGCAAGGGGGAAAAACATCCACCTTCTCACAGCGAGTTCCCTGAGAACATTTGTTGCTCGGCAGCAAAGGAGGATAATGGGAATTATCAAAACAAACAGAGAGGGGAAAACACGCATCTAGAAAGTCTGGTGTGAGCTGGGGACAGAGATTTAATGCCTCTATGTATCTGTCAGTAAAAAGCCAGGCACTGAGACGCGTTCTCGGGAGGGGAAAGATCTCCAAGATCACCCAGCACGGGCTGGGAGCGGCTGCAGCACGACACAACCGGGATAAACCACAACAGACCCAGAGCAGGCCGAGCTCAAACACAACACAGTTAACATAATTAAACATCTGAACAGCTCGCAGTGCGATATGACAATAATCTGATGCCTGTGGATGTCTGAGACACGTGCTTTGGCTCCCGGCTGGACACGGCAAAGTCGGCAGGGAAGAAGCAGCCCCGGCCAGTGACAGGATATGGGAACAGCAGCACTTCCAGCACCAGCAGTCTCCAGAATGGGGGTGCTGTTTTCACCACGTACACAAGGCAGGTACATCCCACCCCGCAGAGCCCGAGGGCACGGGCACGGCCGCCGGAACACCGCTGGAAACGCACCTGCCGCCGTGCCGTGAAGACTCCGGGGCAACACTAAAGGCTCAGCTTGTCCAGTTACACTTAAAAAACCACAACGCACGCTCCGCAAAACCCCCGGCCGTCAGCCCGCGTCCAAACAAACCCGAGCAACTCTTTCCTCCCCGCGGGGAAGCAGCGGGATCCCGCCGTACGCGACACATTCCCGGCTCTCCCGCGGGGAATTCGGCCGCGGGGGAGGAGGAAATGGGGCGGGACACAGGCGAGGGGCTCTCCGTTACTAGGCAGGGCGGGAGCGCATCCCGCGGGCCCCGCGGCCTAGTGGCGGGGAAGGGGCGGGGTTGCCATGGCGACCGGATGGGCCCGTCCCGGGTGCAGCCGCCATGACAACCCCGGCCCGGCCGCCCTGCCACGGAGACCCCCCCCAGATCGCTCCTGGCTCACCTGGGAGGGGCGGCGGGCGCGCCCTCAGCACATCCCGGAGCGAGGCCGGACTTGGGACCGGGGGGGACACGGACACGGCGGCCACTTCCTCAACCGGGGCACCGCGCAGTAACGCGCCTCCCCATTGGCTGCCGCCGCCGCGCGTGACCGCTGGGGCCGCGCACGCGCAGAGCGGGGCAGAGCCGGTCCCCTGAGGCCGCGCGGGCGGCGCCGGGCGCTGCTCGTAATTAAAGGGGCTGTTAATTAACGGGGCGTCCGTGAGCGCAGGCACTTGCGAAATGGGAGGTGGGGTTGCGTCACACCCCTGTGTCACCTGGCCGGAAGTTTTCCCTCCGTCCTACAATGGAGAAGGACACGGGAGACTTCTCACAGTGCAGGGACTTGGTGACAGTAATGACTCTAATCCTGAAATTAGGAGTGTTTAAGGGTTTTTTCTTGTTGTCGAAGCTCTACAAAGTGAGTTGAGACAGGATATTTCAGTCGGAAAGGACCTACAATGCTTACCAAGTCCAACTGGCATATTGATTTATTTTTAATAATAACAATAATAATTGTAATTAATAATCAGAAATACAAATTATTATTGTTATTGTTGTTGTTATTACTACTATTATTATTATTATTATTTAGATTAGATAATGTGGGGGTTGGACTAGATGAAATCCAGAGGTGCCTTCCAACTCCAACTATTCCATCATCATTATTATTATTATTATTATTATTATTATTATTATTATTATTATTATTATATTATTATTATTAAACTTCCCTTTCCAGAGAAGGACAGCCACAGTTCCCTTTCCAGCTTTCATTCAAATCAGGCTTTCCCATCTTCCATCTAATTTGTCCTTATTTTGCAGCCAGTGTGGAACCAGAGCCCCCACATCACCTCACACAAGGACCAGAGCAGCAGAGGTCCTTGTCACAGCCACTGATGTGTAGAAAGAACCCTCTTTTCCTGCTTTTTCACCTCTTGGAGGGGGCTCAGAGAAGGACAGCACGACAAGAAAGGGGCTGGACACCACATTTGGTTGTTGTGCCAAGAGCAGCACGTTCTGCCGCCCTTCCCCGATGATCCCATGCATCCCTGTGCCCCACTCAGAGCTGGCCTGAACACCACAGCCAGCCTTTGGCCAGTTTGCCAGCCAGCATTAACAAAACACGCCAGATCTCACCCCAAATTTTCAAGAATCACTGACTGAGGTGTCTGGAAAGGGCATTTCCCCAGCTGGCAGGTCGATGGGTCACTGAGTTTTGTCCCCTCCCTAGCACAGGCCTAATGAGTTGGACCTTCTAACCAACTGAAAGATAAAAAAAATCTTAATTGTTTTAATTCTCATTCTTCTAATTGTTTGACAGAGAAATGGCAGATTTGTTTCAATGCTTCTTAAATTGGTTCCTTTAATAGGAAGTGCTGCTTTACTCTACCCTTGTGCTTCCCAAACAAATGTCTGTGTTCCAAAAATATACAGTGTACACATCCTCTGTAGCTATAGATACAAACATTTACAAAGAAACAAGCAGGCTGGGGTGGAATAGCTTGGAAAAACCCAAAAATCACACGGGGCCTTTTCTCCTGGCCCCCCCAGAGCCAGAGCAGCTGGGCTCAGTGTGCCGTGAACACATCCAGGTGAAAAATGCACGACTGAGGAATATCAGACCCTTGGAGCAAAAGGATTTTCCACACACAGCAGAGGTTTGGAGTTTCTGCTGCATATTCCCACCCCCTGTTTTGTCCCTTAGTATCTGCATCCCGTGTCCAAACCTTCCACGCCTGCTGCCAAAGGGCCGATCCCTCACGCTCGGCTTCACTCCAGAGAGGAAAATGTGGTTCCCAGGACAGTTTGGTTTTATCTTCGAGGCTTCCCCAGGCTTCAGGGGAGCTGGGACACCGCGCAGCCTCGGTCCTAGCGGATGGGCCGGTACGGGAATGTCATTCCTGGAATGAAGGTCTGCACGGGGTGTGCCGGGAGCGCGGGGTGCGCCGGGAGCGCGGGGTGAGCGGCGTGCGCGGGGTATCCCAGCGGAGGGGTGTGGATGTGGGGGTAAAATCCTGGTGGCAGGGCCCCGTGGGTGGGCTGCTGCACTGGACCCGAGATCACCAGCTGGAGCAGGCTGTGGAGAGAAATCCAGACAGGAGGGAGGATTGTTAGAGCAGCTTCTGTGGTGAATCCAAGGGCGACTCGCACCCGACGCGCAGCACAGCTGAGGGGCGAGGACAGGGACTCGATTATGCTCTTTGCAGCTTCCAGAAGACTCTTTTTTTCCCTTTTCCCCCCTCTTTTTTTTTAAACTCAGTCGCTCTTTGCAAAGAGGCAAGAAGCAATTACGCTTAGGGTCAGGTAATACAGGCAGGGAGTTGGGGATGGGACAACTGAGGGGCAGGTTCCTGGCTGGAATTTCATTTCCCTTTCTGTGTATTTGTTTTAACACAGGCTGGGCAAGAGCAGATATAAGGTGGGAGCCACTGAAATCCCCTTCAGTCAGGAGCCCAGGGAAGAAGTAATCAGCATTATGTCACCTGTAGCCCTGGGTGAGCAAAGGCCAGATTTCAGGAAGATAAATTTTTAGAGGAGATTTTGTCTCAACAGCCCTCAAGTGTCCTGGAACAAGCATCAAAAACAACAGAGCTGCAGAAAGGTCTCTTACTTGTTATGTGGTAGCCTGGAGCACACAGTCCTCAAGTCATCTGAAAGAGGACAGAACACATAATAATAAGGATGAAGCAGAAATTAGAGTGATTTTCCTCTTTGCTGTCCTTTCTAGGAAGGTCAGATTACTGAATAATCAGTAATTTTACTGAGTAATTAGTGAATAATCAGCAATCTGTCATCATCACCAGTCATCAACACATCCAGAATCCCATTCTCAGGCCCCAAAACCTCCACAGGGGAGAAAATGTTCTCCATCTCACCAGCCTTCCACACCAGCCACTGTACTGTATGTTTGACATTTAAGGCAGACCAAGCCTTAGGATGGATTTTCCAATGCCAATATACCAACAAGGAGTAACTAAGACATAGGAAACACAAGGCATGACTGCCCACTGAATATAGCATTTATGAGGAGAAAGGCATCAGAAAAGCAAGGCAAAGGTTACCCAATGCCTGTTTTGTCTTGGTTTGGTGTTTTTGAAACACTGACAGTGTAAAGAAAGGATTGAGTTGTTTTTGGGTTTTTTTGCTGAGATCTGTCAACTAGAAATTGCACCTTTTTTACCATCTCCAAACTTCTGCTCAAGCAGAATAACTAGAACCAAGGAATTTAACAAGATATCCTGCTGATAGAGTGCTTTCAGGAACAGCTGGAGAACAAACCTGCCTTTGTAGATAGAACCACTCCCAAAACACTGAGATATCTGATATTTCAGCAGCACCTTACACTGAACTACCTTCTACAGTAAGAGCAAGTGCTCAGAATGTTCCAGGTGAACAACTAAGAACCAACACAGCTGAAATAAGCCATCAGCTCAAAAAACTCCAATTTCTGCTTGTTCTTATTACATTTGGAGCTACTTTATAAAAGATTAGGAAGAAGAACACTGAAAATTGACCAGCAGCACTGGTTCAGCCAGGGCTAAAGCCTTAGGCACCTGCTTAGGCAGAGGCCACTCTCTGCAGTTGGGGTCTGCACCAACTGTCCCAGTGGTTGGGGAGCTTTAAGCCTTCTGGTCACACCCAAAACTCCCTGTTTTCAAGAGAATACAACAAGAAAACAGCCTGTCTGGCTGACTCTGTGCTGTGTTGAGGCACTTCCCTTTTTCATCTCTGCAGGTCTTCTGGAAAGAACCAGCTTTGGAGACAGGAAAGCCAGACAAAAAAACCACATTAGCAGCCTTTTTTTAACAAGTTTAACTGAAATTGCACACACTGTAATGGGGTCTCATTACAGGTGAGCTGAACGCCCAGAGGTTCCAGATGAAGTGTGCTTGTTTGCTTTACAAATTCTTTGTCTAGCACACCCCCCCTGTGGGTTTATGTGCTTCATGGACTCTCCTCCAGCAGGCAAACTCAGAGATGTCAAACTGAGGCACAACTGGACAGTGCTTTTTAAATAGCTACAAGCAATTCTGAGGGGAACAAATTTGTCCCTGTGCCAGACACCCAGGTTTAACCCCCTTGTGCACACTGCAGGGTTGAGGATCAGTTCAAAGCAATGCATGTCACCTACATCAGTGATCTCTCTTATTCTCCATCCAGCTATTTTCCCTGAGCTATTTCCTGCACTATTGCTTTCCAAGAGGGGCAAACTACTAATCCTGCTGTGAGCACGTTGATCTTCACTCCCCTCACTCCAAAACCCCCTCTTACAACTTCTGCACACTGGAGGAAAAGAATCCTGTGCCAGGGTCTGTACCAGCCCCACCAACAACTCACCTCTAGTGCACAGGAGTGCTCCCGATGCCATGGCCACTTGCAAAGCCTGGGCCAGCCTGTCCAGAGCCAGTTCAATCTCTTTGGATGCATTGAGAGGATTGAGTTCATCAGACAGTCTGTTGATTTCCTCGACCAGCGGAACCACGTGGTCAAAGGGCACCAGCCCCAGGCGCCCGTAAAGGTTCTTCTCCGTCAAGTGCCCCTGAAGCATCATAAGAACCTGCAGGACACTCAGGTGCAGCTTTGAGTACAGCTGGTGGCAATCTTTGTCTTCTCCTGAAGCCGAGTCCTTGGCAATTTTGCTGGGAGCGTGTCCATTGGAGAGAGAGGCTTTCTTCTTCCTCTTGTAGGCCAGGGGGGCCTTCACGCACCAGCGGATCAGTCCGGTCAGCGGGGTGAGCTCCAAAAACCCTATGGGCAGGTTGGCT